CCCCCCCGCTCCGGCATGTTAGACACTGATCGTCACAAGGGTGCTGCCTGCCACTTTAAACGCGCGTCAGGGGAGCTACGTCACGACCAGAAAGTTGTTGGAGCCGAAAGTGACGGCAGCTCCCTCCATCGCGATCGGTCTTCGACCTCTCTGAGCTTTCAAAGGCCGTTCAAAGCTTTCGCAAACGCATTCTAAAATGTTGCTGCGCACGCCGCAGTTCTAAGACCCGAAACGCGTGTGTATGAGGCTTAAAGGGGAACTCCGCGATTTATTAAAGTGATAGCTTGCCGTGGGGCAAACCCAGCACTGCAAGGGTTAAGTGCTGGTTCTGGTCTAGGGGAGGAAAGCACCCTTTCAGATATACGTGGGGAGTGTTGAACGGAGTCACCCCGGGGTGGGGGTGGGGGGGGGTCTCTTATATTGAACAAAGCCAGACTCTACTAACCAAAAAGAAAAACCCCTTTAACCCCTTCATGACTGAAGCCTTTTGTTCATTTTTTTGCGCCCATGTTATATTCCACATTTTAGGCCTGAAAATGACTTAAAAACCCCCCAAACATGATATATTTTCTGAAAGTCGAGACCCTGTAGAATAAAATGGTGGCAGTTGCAAATTTTTATGTTGCACGATATTAGCGCAACTCCTTATCAAACCCCCAAATGTAATGAAAAATGCACTTAAATGCCCCAAAACACAATAAAATACCCATTTAAAAAAAAAAAACATATAAAAGACGAGGTTCCAACGAGTAAATAGATACCCAGCATGCCCAGGTTAGAAATTGAGTGCGTCCGTGAAACTGCGAAAAATTTCAGTACCTCAAAAAGTCCATGGACGACGCTTTAAAAGCCCTCACAGGTCATCAGTTTAGAGATATGTGTAAATACTGGCCCTAGGATTATTGCTCTCACTCCGGCGTGCGCGGCGATACCCAAATGTGTAGCGCGATCGTCGTTTTCATACGTAGGCGCACCCAACGCGCGTGCGGGGGCCTTTAAAAAAAATGACATTTATTTTTACATGTATTTCATTTAATATTACAGTAATTTTAAAAGCTTATTTTTTTTTCAACTTTAATTGCTATCACATAGGGGAGCTTACAAGCCCCCCTTTGTGATAGCAGATTGGCAGTGACAGGTCCTCTTTAAGGTGATGCTGGGGGTCTTTTGGACCCCCAGTGTCACTTTTACACTCTAAATAAGCTATTGAAGTGCAGATCATACTTCAATAGCTTGTTGCTGGGTTTCCGGAGCCGACCAATGACAGCTATGGGACCGGAAGTGATGTAATACGCGTCGCTCCCAGTCCCATAGTACGTTCGCCGCTCTCCTCCCCAGAGAAGTCGGTCCCGGGGCCCGTAGGAGGGGCAGCGGAGCCCGGGAAACATGGCGGGAGGGGGCGTTTACCGGCCCGTAGAAGCGATCTGAGGGAGCTGAGCCGCCAGCATCGCTTCCACCTGTGAAGCCGTTAGTCGCCTCTACAAGTGTAAGCAGAGTTGCCGCCAGGAGTCTGTACGTCACTGGTCACGAAGGGGTTAAGTAGCTGATTTCCCTCTCTGAACCCCCCTGTGCACTGAGGCCCCCTGCTGGTGACAACTTATAACAACACATTCATCTGATTTACATTCTCTGGCTCCTCCCCCCCAATCAATATGATAATGAGATTTGTAACTAAATCCTTCCCGCTCTTGTTACTGACCTTCTTTAACCACTTCCTGTCCGTTACTTACTATATGCACACACACACACGATAAAATCTGAATTTTTGGCTAGAAAACAGCTTCAGACCCCCAAACAATTTTCTGAAAGCAGAGTCCCTGACGAATATAAAGATGCTAGTTGCAATTTTTTACGTTGCACTGTATTTGCGCAAATGTTTATCAAATCGATATTTTTAGGCTAAAATACACTAAAATGAAATCTAGTGCACAGAAACAGAATTTAATGGCCAATTGTTTGGTAAAATATAAGAGACGGGGTCACGCCGGGTAAAAAGACACCAAACGTGTCGAGCCTTAAAATTGCGTGCGTCCGTGAAACCGTAAAACACTACAATACCCCAAATCTCCCACAGGGGACGCTTTAAAAGCTTTTACCGCTCATCATTTTAGTGTTACCAGTGACTGATGGGCCTAAAATGATTGCTCTCGCGCAGACGTTCATGGTGCTATGTAACATGCGCGGCACAATTTTCGTTTTTGCACGTAGGCGCACCCAACGCGAGTTTGTGCGTGCACGTGGGGGGCAGGGAACTTTTTCTGTATTATTTTTTTTATATGTAACTCATTTTTTTTTTTAACACTTAACTTTATTGCTATCACATAGGGGGCTAATAAGCTAATAGCAGATAGGGTGTGACAGGTCCTTTCAAACTCCTAATGTCACGTAGGGACCCTGAAGAAGCTGAGGAAGCACATATATGCTTCCCCAGCTTCTTCTTCTCCTGGCTCTAGGAGCCGCAGAATGTGCCCAGTGACACCGGAAGTGATGTAATGCACGTCACTTCCGGGTCCAGTGATCGGAGGAGAGATCAGCGGCTGGAAGCTTGCTGATCTCTCTCTCGGATCTGTCAGGGAAGACCCGCCTCGGGGTAGCTGGCGGCGGAGGGGGAGCGCACTCCACCGCTCGGTACAAATGATCAAGCGGCTGTACCACTTGTACCTGAATAGCCATCACCGGCTGTTTAAGACTGCCTCAAGAACACGGCCTGCGGCGTCATCTCATACACGAGGGAGGGGGGGAAGGGACGGGGCGGAAGGAAATCTCTGGTCACTGTTGTAATTTGCAGCAACGTTTTTTTTTTTTTCCTTTGCAGATGCTAAAGATGAAGTTTTCCACAACGTTCTCTTAGACCCGTCCGAGACGTCCAAGAAGGAGGAAGGGGAGAAGGACGAGGAAGACAACTTCCTGTTTGAGTTCTCGGAGATACCGCTCATCCCCTGCTACAACCTGCAGGTCTCCCTGACTAGCGGGTAAGAGGCCGCTGCGCCGCCGGGCTGGCTGTGGTCGCTCCGTTATGGTTAATGGTGGAGATTGCCTCCCTCTTGTGGGCTGTGCAGGAATTACACTTTATTTTTAAATGACATTTGGAATTAAAGTGACAGGAACCCCCAAAAATGTTCCTTTTTATTGGCTTATTGCTTTTTTTATGTTTCTTTCATTGGATAATAAATATCTGGTGATCCTGACAGTTTCCAGCTCCTCTTTACTGAGAGTGGCAAGTCTTCTCTACTGAGTCTTCTCCGTTGCTACCTTGTGGGTACATGCTCCAGTTTTCCATTACGTGGCATCACCAGCAGCGGCCACCTGGCTCCTCCCACCGATCACCATCCAGTGTGACTCTCCTGCAGGGTGGCTCCACCCACCAATTGCACCGTGCAGTGCAGAGGCGCATGGGGAAGATCACGTGACCACTATATAAAAGTGCCCCAAAAAAAGGCGTTTTACATCCTTATTCACGTCTCACACAGCCAAACTGGTTCAAATGGGTTCACATAAACTTTGAAGGTGCGGAAAAGAGCTTCATATTCAGAAATACGCACTGTCCTATTCATAAAAAAGAACCGGTTCAGAATTGCTCAGGGAACATGCTGATAGGAGAAAAGAGCAGAGCGATGATCCTCATTAGACCACTGCTTCTCTTTCGCCACTCAGTCAGCAGACCGGGCGGAGAGGGGACACCCCTGTATTGTAAGTGCGTTTTACCCACTTGGTCGATCTTAGGACTGAATGGGTGGTTCCAGAGATCCCTTGGCAGGCAAACCACTCGGCATCAGGGCTGAGGGCATTTTGATATTTGCATAGCTCCTCCCAAGAGCCAGCCCACTGCTTACATCAAGGGGCTCTTGAGAGGAGTACTAAGGCAGGGGGCTGTGATGAGTTCAGGAAGCCATGTACAGCACCCTGTTGGCTCCTCCCATTGTATAGAAAAGCACAGAGACCTAGTGATGACATCACTGGGTCTAAACATTAAATTAGCATGTTAATGAGGGGGGAGGGGAAAGAAGGGAACCCGGGAAGGTCAAATCTAAGCAGACTAAACTTCAGCTTTACCATCCACCTGAAATGCATTTCCTCTTATTTACCTGCAGACCCGGTAACTGGTTCCTCATCTCCGACATCCTGAAGAAGCTGAAGCTGTCCTCCCGGATATTCCAGGCTCGCTACCCGCACTTTGAAATCGCCAGCATGCAGAAGAAGGAGTTTACCCGCCAGGCGTTCACCAGTCAGATCCTCACGCCCTCCGAGGGGGTGGACCTCTGGCCTCAGGACAGTGGGGAGACTGTAGAGTTAATCAGGTATGAAGCGGAACTAATCCGACTCTTGGGCTCTGCGGTGGAATTCCAGGACGCCAGCAGCTGACGAGGGAGGAAAAGGTTCCGTGCGAGACCTTTGCAGCTGCTTTATAGGCAATAAAAACAAGAGGAGGAGGCCTTAGCAATGCCAGCACCGGCGAGTGGATGTCTCGGGTTTTAGCATTACCCAACCATTCTTTCTGCAGAAGGACAATATCTTCTCCGGGACTTCGGAAAACACCGCTCGGCTACCCAGGACATGAAATTCTCTTGGAACCGCCTGACGGTTACCACAGAATACCGCTCGGCTACCCAAGACATGAAAATCTCTGGCAACGGCCTGACGGTTACTACGGAATACCGCTCGGCTACCCAAGACATGAAATTCTCTTGGAACCGCCTGACGGTTACTACGGAACACCGCTCGGCTACCCAAGACATGAAATTCTCTTGGAACCGCCTGACGGTTACTACGGAACACCGCTCGGCTACCCAAGACATGAAATTCTCTTGGAACGGCCTGACGGTTACTACGGAACACCGCTCGGCTACCCAGGACATGAAATTCTCTTGGAACCGCCTGACGGTGACTTCCTCGGCCACCACTTTCTCCACCCCTGCGCCCGTCTCGTTTTACCTCCACCAACGTTCAACGTGCTGAGCAAGCATCCAAAGCCTTTTCCGTTTTCGATCTTCTCCTTTGCCACGAGCGTGGTCGTTTGGAGACGGGGAAAAAAAAATTGCTCAGACATGGCAGCACTACAGCTGCCGGCCAAGGCGCATCCATTGTGACTTTGGAGGGTCACCCAGAACAGGAGAGACAATCATGAAGGAATCCCGAAATCGAAAAGCCATCTACAGCCAAAGGAGGTCGTAGGATTCGGAAGCCTCGCTTGCCGTCCTAGAAATTGCCGGTCCTCACCGCAAGTTTTTTTTTTTTTTTTAAATCCAGAGCCGAGGATGGAGCTGGCCAACAGCCGCGAGCTACCTAACTTTTTTATTTTTAGCCCACCTGGCCTCCGAGCCCCTCTCTACGAATGAAATCCCAAGCATCCACGTGCTTGTCTACTGATGATACTCAAAACGAAGCATGGCAGAACTGTATGGGTTTGCGAGGACAACCGAGCAAGCCCCGTGCCAGCGAATTGGTTAAAAAAAAAAAAAGCGTCCCGTCGGACACGAGCGCGCCGCGTTCTTTCCGCAGGCCTCGGCCTTACACCACTAGGACGCTCCGGGCCCTGCTCTCTCTTAACCCGTGGACAAGGCGAAAAAAAACCCCCCACAGGCCAGCTACCGACCCGGGGGGGGGAGAAGGTTTAACGTGTGAATGTGCTCAGGGCTATTCTTCCCGCCTAAATCTAATGCTTCTTACTTTTTATAGTAAATGCTCATTTTAAAGCAATTTGGAGTGAAAGTTAAAAATAAAAGTTGAGAAAAAAAAAAAAAAAAAGAACCATGTGACTGTTCAAAGCAAAGGAAACCGACGAGAAAATACAAAAAACACAAAGGCCCTCATGGCGGGGCAGGCTGTGTGTCGCTCCACGTGAACCACACAGCACTTTATTAAATTCTTTTGAACTGAGAAATTTCTTTTTATTGTAAATGGTACAGTTTTATTGTACGGGTGCTAAAAAAACACACACAAAAAAAAAAAAAATATTCATTCGATGGCTCGGACATTCCGTTATTTCAGAGTGTGATCAAGAAGTGGGACCTGTGCTAGGCGACGTTCACTATTTCTATTAACCCCCCCCCCCATGTCATAATCATGCCGGGCAGGGCTCGGGTTATAAGCAGCCACCTTCAGATGATTAAACATTGGCAAACAGAATTTGGGACAACCGTGTAACCCCTCCCACTCCCAGCAATCCTCAGTTTTTGGCTAGTGTCCTTAAAAGAGAACTATGTGGTAAGTTTTTTTCCCCCATAGTTCTAAGGGCCACGGGAGGACATAAACTAGCGTCCTCCCGTCACCCAAAGCTCAGTATATAGGGAGCTACAGCTCGAGGTATACTGAGACCGCCGCAGCCGGGATGGATGCCGACATTACTGTCGAGATCCACCCAGCTGCATGACTGACAGCTGGCTCTGCCTATCTAGAGGCAGAGCCAGCTGTACCCGCCCCCTCCCCCGTCCGTTCCGCCAGTCAGCGCTGGTGGTTTTGCAATCTACCCGAGGTGCTTTCTTCCATCCGCCTTAATCGGAACATTGTCCGGCTCTGTAGCATCCCAAAGAGATCTCCTTGCACTGTTTGGATGTGGTGCAGGCATCGTGTGTGTATATGTTTCTGCCAATCATATCTGAGGGCTCGTGCAAGGACTTTTCAGCGCCAGGCGTCCCATATTTCCTAGACTTCCACCCGGTCTTTGGTCCATGTGTCAAGTTTTACCAGGTGGACGTTCAGGCCCCAGCTGATGCCAGCGTTGGCCGTAAGGTGCTTCAGGCTGCTCTGCAAGTTCAGCATAGCCTGCATCACCGCATCTGTGTACTCTGTCCCAACGTTCCTGTCCATGAGTAAAGGAGCCTGTGTCCTGTGCTGTACCATGAAGAAAATTTGGATTTTTCACTTGCCTCTAAAACTCTTTTCTTGGAGTACAGGGCACAGACCACCCTCCCCACCCCTCCCCTCTGTCCTGGTGGTCCATCAAGGTCCTCTTATACAAAGCTTAGGATACGAGTGTCCCCATAATTCCGTATGCCGGTGTCCAGTCACCTGAAGGTGGCTGCAGATAACCCAGGATCTAGGATTGCAGGGTCCTGTGTCCCGCACTCTACTCCCAAGAAAAGGATTTCACAGGTAAGTCACACATGCGGTGCGTTACAATTGATTCCTCGCGGAGCGCGCACATTCGATATGCCGCAGATGAATCCTCCTTTTGCATTCATCCTCCACCACCTGCCACATGCTCACGCTATCATGAATGGGGAGCAATGCCGTCAAAGGCGCGGCCAATCCGGTTGAGTGAGATTTGGATTTGTAGTGTAAGCCTGGGGGGAAAAAAAACACATTCACGACATCTCTACTACATGCATGTGTCAATGGTTTATT